GAAGGATCATAGTTTTAGGTGGAATGTCAGATTGAAAACAGAGATGGGAAGGAATGACTTTTCTCAAGGGGTTCTGAATCTGAGGAATTCACTACCCAGAGTGCGGTGAATGCTGTGATACCAAATATATTTGAGAAAATAGACAGATTTTTAATTAGTAATGAGTTAGAGTTATGGGGTACGGGCAGGAAAGTGAAATTGAAGCAGAGATGAGATCAGTCATTATTGTACTAATTGTGGAGAAGAGTCGAGGTGCTAAATTGCCGACTCCTTCTAGTCTTTACGTTGTCATTTCTGGATTCTAACGAAATCAAGCGATATGTTGGGTTTGCACAGCCAAGTACCATTTGAGGTAGATAATCAGCTATGATTTAATTGTACAACAGAGCAGACTTGGGGGTTGAATGGCCTGCGCCTGTTCTTATGTTCCGATGAATACATCCTGACATTGAGAGCAAAAAGTAGGACTTCTGATTATCAACTTGAGTGGAAAAAAGGAGTGGAATGGTGCTTCATGCTTCAGGAACTAGAGTTTCACTCCATTGATTTGTTGATTAAATGTAATTTCAATAATTTTCAGTAACTGCAGATTAAACAAGAAATCTGACTACATAGTTTATTGGGTGGTTTCTTGAACTGTTTGTACTTATGCAAAATATTGCACACTATGTTTTAGTTACTGTAATCTTTCTGCTTTTATGATGTTATATTCTCCATAGCTTTTTTAAAAATTCCAGAAGAAAAAAATACAAAATCTAGCTCTGGATGTTTGTAAATGTACAGATCCAATTCAAATTCCCACTGACCCACACCATGTAAGTTAGGTCCAACCGTAAACTAGAAATAATGTTTTTAGTCTGTGCATGTGAGCTTTAGCTGACTTTTTTTTTTAAGAAAAGACTTCCAGCTACAGATTAGTTATTAAAATATCGATATTTCATCTCTGGTGTATGATAGGAATTGTGTTGTATGAATAATCTGAAGTTAATTTCAAATTAGTGAACCTGTGTTTTAAACTAAAAATTGGCCCTTCGACTATAGTTACTGGAAATTGCTATTTTCTAAACCTTTGCTTAAGACTGGGTAACATTGCAAAAGTTGGCAAGTGTACGCTTTGGAGAGATTTTGAGTAAAACCTGGAGTTGTGAGCCCCAGTAACAAGGGAGCTTTGCTTTTCTGCTACTGATATTGAAAGCAAACTTGAGTATGCACCAGTGAGCCACAAAGATTTTAAACGGAAAGATAGCTTGTTTAGAAGTCAGCAAATAGAGTAGCACTGTCTGCCCTATGGAGTTAGCTATTTTAGACAATAGCAACAAAAAAGGCAATAGATTTCCAAAAGAAATGTGGGTTTATAGCATCTGTCTTTATTACTGATTTTTATTGTCTTTATTACAATTGATTATATTGGAAGCTGACTTGTTGTCAGAACTCCTTAAAATTGTGCACTCTTGAGGGAGTACTCTTTACCAGGGGAGAACAAAAAAAAATTTTTGAGAAAGAAAACTATGCTCTTGTTTCAACGAATAACATTTACATTTTGTTTTGAAATGCATCCAAGGTTCACCTTCCTAAGTTTTTAAAGTCCCAATCAAAAATGCTGAGTTCAAATTTATACAAAATTGGTACTGATCTGTTTTGTGTCTCTGCTGGACATTGAAGTAACCAGTCTGCTTCCTGCAGGCAATTTAGAATCTGTTTCTCGTTAACTGTTGGAAGTTTTGGCTTGTATATTTTGTTAACTCTTCCATGTTACAAAACTAGTTACGGTTGGCTTATTCAAGTGCCATACCCATGAATCATTGTGATGTGTGGAAGGGTAATATCTAACTTGTTTTTTTTTCAAATATCGTTCTTTTGGCTACGATTGAAACTGTTGCTGGTTTGTCTCTGTGCCCCTCAAATTATTTGATATGAAGATAGAAATCTTAACATTCTGTTTCATTTCTGCTGATGCACATTAGGTTGGCTCTACCTATGATTATTGTTATGCGTATTAAACTTTTTCACCGGTTTAGATTCATGGAGGTATGACAGTTTGCTTGCATGACTTGACTGCAGGACTGTTGGAATATTTGTGTCTCAACCAGTTAGATATAGATTTGAGTTTAAAGTTACCTAACAATCAGACTAACGTGCCATGACAGCAAATTTGCTAATAGAAGAATCTACAAGCAGCAGCAGCAACATTCAGGCTCAGTACACCCAAGACTGTTTTATTTTGGTGATCAGTTAGTATAATGATGTGCAAAGAAGTGTAGAACTGACAAAAATAAAAGAACTTTAGCTCATCACTGAATAATACCCAAACCTAAAGGCATACATAGGAACTAACAGACTCCCACCTCACTGACCAATCCCCACCACTCCTTACCTGCACTCACCTATCACCATCTCACTTACCTTCACCAGCTCCACCCCTCCTCTATTTATATCTGAAGAAGAGTCCCGACCCGAAACGTCATCTTTCCTGCTTCTCTGATGCTGCCTGGCCTGCTGTGTTCCTCCAGCTCCACACTGTGTTATCCCACAAAATATTGCTGCCCAACTAGTATGTTGGTTGCTGCAATATTTCTTTGAATACAGGATTTCTTGTTATTCTTTTGCTAAAGTCTCAAAATTCAAATGTCTCCCTTTGGAAAAAAATTCATAAAGCTGTCCATTTACAAGCACTGATGAAGGAGTATAAATGCTGTCAAGAGTCTAGTTTTGTGATGTGTATATTATCATAGAATATGAAAGTCATCTCCTAATTTGGAACAGGAAGGTTTTACACCAGATCAGTTCAGTATAAATAAAGCAATAATAAGTAAGCTAACTTCTTGGCATCTGCCTTTTATAATTTCAGCATCTGTCATAGCTGGTTAGCCAGTTTCTTCTATCAGTCTTGTTCATGACAGAGTCTTTGCTTACTATTCAAATTTGGTAGCAATTTTACAGCTGCTTCCTTGAGTCTAGGTTTGTGCATGCCCATTGGAACTAGGCTGCCTGTAGAAATTCTGGAGGATATTGACTTCTGTAGAGTCAATTCTCATGTATTCATTTAATTCATGTGATAGCTTTTCCAACATGTTTTAATTCAGATCTGGTGTGTCTAAATTTTTAAGCACAAAATGATTTTGGAATAATGGCTCATCAAATACTTGTCATCACCATTTTAAACATAACCAATTCCATAATCTCAATCACCCATCTCATGCTGTCCCCATCCTATTCATCTAATACCATGCTGATCCCTCACTTACCATTGCTATTCCTCCTATCAATACATCCCATCCCTCATAGACACATTCTCTCAATTAGGGTAATTTTGTTGTTGAGTTTTCCCTACCTTCTGCTTTTATTTTTTCTTCAGTTTTTGGCAGCTGAATGTACATCATGACCTTCAAATGCCTCTGTCCACAGCAGATAATTGCTATCAAATAAACTGACTAAACAAAATAGTCTGGACAGACAGAATTATTATAGATGAATTAACTGATATTATTTGAAATTATATACTTTTAATGATGTTTATGCTGCTGTGACTGTTTTTCAAACTAGGATAGAACTTCATAGCTGAAGTAATTGCGATTAAACTAATGATATTGGATATTTTGTTTAATAGAAATCTGTAGGTATTTCATTGCTTGGGCTTGAATGAAAGTGTGCAAAAGGAATCAACGATTGGTAATCTACCTTTTATTTTGCACTAAAAAGCAAAATTTAGTTAAAACCTAGCCAGGACGCATTATATCTCTCTGACATTACACACTCTGGAATTTTCAGAAAATCTTGCAAGCAAGCATGTCTAGGATTAATGCAGTATCACAATTACAAAGAAATATAATTTCTTGCAGAATTCTACTACTACAACTCTCCCAAGTCAGTTGGGGTAGTAGAAACATTGCTCTTTCTAGCATTCCTGGGTTAGGCAGGGAGAAAATTGATCACGTTTCTCATTCCTCCATATTCAGTGACTCTGGATGAAAAGATGCCTGTATAGATATCAGGGTAGGACTCTGCTGTAAAGACTTTATTGACATATAAGTAACGACTGTTTGGTTTCACAGGCTTCTCATCTATTCTACAGCAAAATAGAGTTTTGTGTTCAGCTGCATGTCTTCAACATAGAAAGCAATCATCATGTTCAAGCAGCCCCAAGTCAGCACACAGAAATTCATAGTTAAGAACTTTTCTTTACCTTCTGATAATGAATACTCATTATCTTTTCCCATAGGCAAATGCCATTAGTTAATGCTCACCAAGAGTTGAGACTTGGCACTCTTAAATATAAGCATGCGGCCCTGCTGACATTAAACCAGCCCAAAATTATGCAATTTAATATGATAAAGAACATTATTAGTAGATACTCTGTATTCTGGATGTTGATTTACAAAATTCTCTGGTCAGATGAAAAACAGCCCTTTTATAATGGAACCAAATCTTTGTCTCCCTCTATTTATTTTGGGAGACTACGCTACATCTTCAAAGTAAAATGGGGTGGTAAGAGTGTGGGATAACCAGCTTACGTATCTGTAGAATTGCCAGTGGAGTTCCTGAAATCTTTTGCTCCTTGTTTTGGCAAAACTGTTTTGTTTTCACTGTTGCTGCATAGAGATGGGTAGCTTCAGAATGGTGATTGACTAAGGCTCACTGACTAGCACATTTTGGTCTTCTAACACCCACTACATTTGTGCTCAAATAATGTTGTTTTGAGTTGAATGTTATAGACTGACATAAATTGACAATCCACTGTCTTTCACCTACTTCAAAGCATTTGTTTTTGTGGTGATTTTTACTAAATGTTGAATAATGCCAATATTTTGCGTTTATCAGATGTAATTCAACCTGCAGTTCTGTCAACACTTTCCTAATATTATCACAGTCTGAATGGCAGTCCATGTCCTGCTGAGTACATCTGTGCTGAGTTGTCTGGAGACCATCAGTGTTAAGTGTTTGTAAAACAAAGAAAAGCAAAACCACTATAAAATCAGTCATTTAATTTCCTTTACTTGCAGGAGGGACAAGTGTTTCCGATGCTTTGGAGTGTCCCACAGATGAAAAACGAACCATACTTTCTTTGGATACTTCACAGATGGTATGTAATAAAGATTTTAGAGAAAGACTCCTGATGGTAATAAATGTAAAAATTTAATTTAAACCTTTCCAAGTCCAACTCTCTTGTCATTGCTTATTTTAACCAAAGCATCCACAAGGAGCTTTGTACCTTCTACATGTATTTAAAAACATTTCTTGTATTCTGTGGGAAGTGATTAAAGATATTCAGTTGATTATGAAGTTTGACTTTTATATTGGATTATGCTGGTTTATTTGAGTTTTTCTTATGCAGCGTTTTAATTTGAGATATATAGGGGTTTAACAGATTTGCCTTCTCATTTTTGTTGTTTTAGTTAAGATTATCCTTCCAAGTACCAGTTTAAAGGAAATACATACCTTTGAGAAAAAATGGGTGCTTGTTGGTTCTTTCCTCGTATTCAAAGCATCAATATGCTTTATATAGCACAAGAAATTAAGTAGTAATAAAATGTTAAGTATTATGTTAAATGTTAAATTTATTATACATCTTAAATTGTCCTTATACATTGATCATGAAGGGAGTCATGTGGTATTCCTTGTTTGAAGGTTTGTTCCCATAAAGAAAACCTTGCGTTAATATTGTACCTTTCATGACCACTGGTTGATGCACAGCACTTCCCAGCAGTGAAGTACATGTTAGGTGTGGTCTCTGTTATAATGTGGAAAATGTGGCAGCCACTTTGCACACAGCACGTTCTGACAAACTGATATGTGATAATGACCAAATAATGATTTTGTAATGTTAGTTCATCGATAAATATTGGCCAGGACACGAGAGAGAACTCCTGAGATTTTCCAGATAAAACCATTGGATCATTTATGTTCACCCAAGGGAAGGACATAGGGCTTTGACTTCATGACTTCTGCAAAAAGTGGAATCTCTGCCAATGTAGCGTTCCCTCGGCACAGCACCGGAATGTCAGCCTTGATTGTCGTATGGATAAGTCCTGGTGGTGCTCGAACCACAACTGTCTCTGGCAAAAGTTCTATGAACTGAAATAGCTTTGTATATTACAGAGTATTGCATTTGAAATTGTTTTGAGTGAGGAATTTGTTTACATGCTAAAACTAAATTGAGCACACTAATTTGTTGGACACAACAGGAAAATGCCACTGATTTTTAGAGCCTTTCCTGATTCATTCAAGCACATTTTAGCTCCAGTAGGTGCCCTAGCCCTGAGAAGACGTTGATGCAAAACTGCATTAAGCTTGTCCTCCAATATTTCAGATTTTGCCAGCTTAAAATCATTTATTAAACTAATGTCATGTATTGTTTTAAGTTGATGAATTTTAATTTGTTATAGAATTCCAAACAAGAATCATGTTTTTAACTTTCTTAAAAAAAAAAAATCAAAATAATTTGATCTGCTTCATCACTTAACTTGGGAAAACCCCCTTGCCTAGATTGATTATAGCCCATAAAAGGGTTAAGGTAGTTGAACGTGCTTTTCTTAAATAATTGTCTTTTAGAAATGCTTAAACTGCTCCCAGAATGCTGTCACTTTTACATTCCAACCCATAAATCTTTTTTTCTTTTGAAAGCATCCAGCATGCGATGCAGTTTGGTGCACAGTTTCCAAAGTTAATTAAACAACCTGAAATGTACAGCAGGGTCACACATTCCCTGTCTGAAATGTCAGAGTATACAAATGAAGACTAGCATCTTGTGTTTCTGTAACTTGTAACAGAGGCAATCTACATGAGCAGAAATTCTCCTTAAATGGGAGCATTTGAGTGAAAAATTTTGATTTTTAAAATGAAGAAATTAGCCCAGTCTCATTCTTGAGGAAAACTCTTCCACTGCTTTCCAATATAAGTTGAAATGGAGTGGTAGAAATTATTTTAGTTACATCCACAATTTTGTTTTGTATAGACAGTGAAAATGGAGTTCCCGTAAATGGGTCACATTCTTAAACAACTTTCTTTGTGTTTCAGATATTTTTTTCTGAGTTAAAGAATTGTCATTAATTATTCTATTGACCACTGGAGATCAAATGGCATGTTCACCATTTTTGTCCAATTCTTAAAAAGTGCAAATCAGGTCACTGCACAAGGCTAAAGTAGAAAACTATATTCATTGACCGAATAATGCAATCAAAACATATTGGTACTGTAAAATGTTTTAACACCATTCCTAAAAATAAAAACAATCTTTTGAACTTTGTCTCTCTCACAGTTTGTAAAAAAAAAAATCTGGCTGGATCTTTGGATGCAAGCTTCTGATGTGAATTTCCAATGTGCTCAGTTTAAATATCCAGCACAACAAAAGTTGAGTAACCCGAGTAGTGATTCACACTGTTGGAATTCTTTTACGTTCAACATGAAATGAAACACATCCTACATGCTGCGAAGTGAGGGTTTTGATATCTGGATATTGCCGGCTTGCTCCAAACAATTTCCCTTCTGGTTTAGTCCCTAGATTAATTTTGGCAATTACATGGTCTGTCAGATTGGATAAGTTAATGTTTCAAATGGTTCTGGCTAGAAACAACATTGTTTCAACTTGATTTCTGAACAAATGTACAGGGACAAATGATAAATATCTATCCTGACGCTGTTTTCTCATTGAAAACATTTGGCAGCCAGTTAGGAGTGCAGGAGATCATTGGTACTGAAATCATAGGATTTTTGCCATGATACAGCTCATTTAAAATCTTAAAATACAGAATTCAGAAATGTATGTATTTTTGCCAAGTTTCAGAAAAGTCTAAAATATTTGACGTAATTTTTGAGACGAGAAGTTCTAAATTAGCAGTTTTATTTCTTAGACATTGCTATTCGGCTGTAGTTCTGGAACCATTTTTTTTCAATTTGATTATCATTAATTATAGTCCTTTGATTGGAACCAGGCAATAAATTGTCCATAAGGTGGATTAGTTTCATGTGGAACTCTGTAATTCCATATTAGAGTTGTCGTCATCAGCAATTTGGTTTGAGATGCTAGAAATCGAGCATTCTCCACTGTATTTAAGAGTTTATTGAGAGACAACTTGTTTCATGTGGCTCACATTTCTATTGGTTTACTCATCTATTGATTGACAGTAGAAATGTTTGGGAACAAGTGAATGTCCAGTCTGCATTAGGGAATCATTGCACTTGTTGCTGCACCCAAAGGCAATGTAGGTTATTTTAGTATCCTGTTAGCTTGGTTACAGTTGCACAATAAAATAATTTATCTTCAGAATGGTTTTTAAGCCAAGGATATGATCATATACCAGCTTCCAAAATGAATTTGTTTGTTTGCACATCCTAATAGTCACCGGTTTTATTGATTCTGAAAGGTGTGCCTCTAGAATTTCTGCATTATCAAAGCATTTTGCACATTCTCCGAGTGTCTGGTGGGTTTCCTCCGGGTGCTTCAGGTTCCTCCCACAGTCCAAAGATGTGCAGGTTAGGTGGATTGGCCATGCTAAATTGTCCATAGGGATGTGTAGATTGGGTGTGTTATAAGGGGATGGGTCTGGGTGGGATGTTCCAAGGGTTGGTGTGGACTTGTTGGGCCGAAGGACCTGTTTCCACACTGTAGGGATTCTATGTCTATTTAAATCATGTCATGTTTTTTCAAAATTCCATTGAGTAATATGCTGTGTGCACAGTGTTGTTTTACAGTTGCACTTTAAATCTTTCAAATACAAATTAGGTCTGTTTTCTCTAGAATTTGGAAGATTAAGAAATGATCTGATCTGATTGAAGTCTTCAAGATTTTAATGGAAAAGCCAAGTTAGCTAAAGAGAAACTATTTCCACTGGTTGAGGATTCTAGAACTAGGGGGCATAGTCTGAGAATTAAGGCTCGACCTTTCAGGAGAGATGTTAGGAAGCTTTTCTACACACAAAATGATGGTAAGCATTTGGAACTCTCTTCCAAAATGGCAATGGATGCTGGATCAGTTATTAATCTAAAATCTAAGGTAGATAAATTTTTGTTAAGCAAAGGTATTATGGGATATGGGCCAAAGGCTAGCATATGCAGTTAGGTCACGGATCAGCCATATTTGATTGAAAGGTGGAGCAAGCTTTGAGGGGCAGAATGGCCAACTCCTGTACCTATGTTTCTCTCTCTACTTCACTGGGCAACAGCTTCAACTTTTCATTGCCTACGTGCTGAAGGAAACTGTTTTTCCCTAAGCATTGTATACCTGAGTTTAGATTGTGGTGTAATTTGACTACTTTGAAATTTATACCTACAGTTGATCTTTTTTGCTGTACTTCCAGTCTTCCATCTAAAATATGAAAAATAACCTTTTCTGGTTATTTGAGATCTGCCATTACTTATGGGCGGCTCAGTGGTTCAGTGGTTAGCACTGCTGCCTCGCAGCACTAGGGAGTTGGGATCGAGTCCACCCTCGGGCGACTGTCTGTGGAGTTTGCACATTCTCCCCATGTCTGCGTGGGTTTCCTCCGGGTGCTCCGGTTTCCTCCCACGGTCCAAAGATGTGCAGGCTAGGTGGATTGGTCGTGTTAAATTGCCCACAGTGTTCAGGGATGTGCAGATTAGGTGGGTTATAGGGGGATGGGTCTGGGTAGGATGCTCCGAGGGTCGGTGTGGACTTGTTGGGCCGAAGGGCCTGTTTCCACACTGTAGGGATTCTATTGCACCTTATGCCTCTGACTCATTACCACATTATCCAGATTCTTCACAAGCTTCCAGAAAATGTCCATTAACCTTTATCTTCAGATTGTTGTGATTTGCATTTTGAGCTAATTACTTTCACTAAATATTCTATAACATTTCAATTCACAAATTCTGTTCTATACTTCTGCACATGACTGGTATCTTTTTAACCACTAATCTTCATTTGGGCAGCTAAAGTACAGAACCCTTTTTTTGGAAGAAATGACAAGACAAATTGGTCACTGTGCTGGGGACTTGCAACATGAGCAAAAAGATAATGGCTTTCAAGCATATGGATCCTTCAGTTTGACTGTGTTCTGCTGATACATATATCAATCACCTACAGATTGCCTTTAGGTTTTGTTACATTGACACATCTGGAAATGC